CCCCCCCCCCCCCCCCCCCCCCCCCCCCGAGTTCTTAACCACAAACCCCAATAGGAGGAATAAATTGCATATTAGTTCGCAAAACAAGTGACAGAAGATGAGTAAAAAATTAAAGAGAAGTCATACCATATTTTTCCTCACATCTATGGTTTTGTGTTTTACTTGTTATCATTGTTATCAACTTATCAAAGGTGGGGAAGAACATAACAGAAAGATTCCTTCACTGTACCTTTTGGGAAGGCTGATATTTGCCCTAGCATATGATGTTACTACATAGAATCAGAGTCTCAGAATCATTAGGACTGGATAAGACAAAAGCATCTAGTCCAACCTGCCCGCAGCATGCCCACTAACTACATCCCTTACTGCCACATCGACATGGTTCTCAGTCACCACCACCACCACAGACAATGACTCCACCGCCGCCCCGGGCAGCCTTTCCCAAGGCAGCAGAGCAGTAGCACAACAGTCATAAGCAACGCGTGCACACGTTATCAGCCCGCAGCGCCGAGCTCCGCGCCCGCCCGAGCTCCAAGGGCGCCTCCTGCCGGCCTCACCGCGCTGCGCCGCCCGCCTTGAGGATCCCCGCGCCTCCCGCCCACCCTCCCGCCCGCAGCCACGCCGTCTCCTCGCCGCTGCGAGGTTCGGTTGGGGCCGGGGAGGCCGTAGGGAGGGCTGGCGGGAAATGCGGGGCCGGGCCGAGGAGAGACGCTGAGGAGTGGAGACGGGGAGACGGGGAGACGGGGAGACGGGGAGACGGGCAGCCGGGGGACTCGGTGGCGGAGCAGGCGGACGCGCGCTAGGCAGTGACGGCCACCAACGGCTCCCTCACCTTGAGCATGGTGCCACCCGGCTACCGCTTCCCCCGCCAGCCGCGTCGCAGTTATGACGTAAACAGAGCGTCGTCGCGTTGTGATGACGTTATCAGCGCGCCGCTACAACCACCGATGAGCGGCCGCTCGGGGCCTACGTCACGGCGCTGTCCGAAGGCGCATGCGCAGATCCGCTGCCGCCATGTCATGGGCAGGGCAGCGGGTAGCGCCTGCGCAGTGGGTGGAGAGGGGCTGGGAGCAGGAAGGCGGGAGTGGCTGAGAAATGGTGTCTTGGGTGGTTGTTGCCACTGCTCGCCTCAAAGACAATCATCCAGACTGTTCAGACCGTTACGCCTACACTGTTTGGTTTGTTATTCAGCTGTACCTGGAATAATAAATACTAAACTCCCTTCAATTAAGATAAACTAAAACAATGCTGCACTCTGATTTAAATAATGGGAAATCTCTTCCCACGTTATCAGTTAATTACCTGTGTTCTTTGCTCCTTCAGATTTGCTGGTCAGGAGCTTCCACCTTCCACTGCTTTAAAGAGTTTTCACACCCCTCAAAGCCAAGGCAGCAATAATGGGCAAAGAATAATGAGTCAATCAAATGAGGTGATTTAGTTCATATTCATGTGTTATCACTTTCTGATCAATTACTAGGATCTCAGTACTTGTTATTTTTAACACTTTGGTAGATACTTATTCTGTTTAATCATGCTCACATAGTAACACAATTCAAATGCAAACAAGTTTCATGCCTTCACAGAATACAGTTAATTCTTAGCTAGTAATGGAAAAACCTCTTTAATACAGAAAGATGTTTTAGAGCGTTTGTCTGTATTCCTTGTTGGGAGTAATAGTTATGTATAGAAATTGCAGGTGCTGTGCCATACATTTACCATTGCAGTTCTGTTGTGAAGCCACGCTGCCACGACTTGGTGTGAAGGGGGACTGGCTGCTTAACTTCTAAGATCCGACAGGAACCTTTGCTGCCCAGGAATGGAGTGAACGTGAGCACCACCAGGGGGTGTTACGAGCACCTGTGTTCTGCTTTGAAATGAGCTCTTTGATCTATTCAGTCCTTTTTCATGGGACTGGGAGAGAAACCAACGCGAGATGGGGGTTGGCTTCTTATCCCAGGTAACTACTGATAGAATTAGAGGCAACGGGCTTAAGTTGTGCCAAGAGAGTTGCAGCTTGGATATTAGGAAACAGTTAGAAAGAGTGGTGAAGCACTGGATTAGGCTGCCCAAGAAGTGGTGGTGTCCCTGGAGGTGTAAAAGAAACATGTAGATATGGCATTGAGGGTCAGGTTTAATGGGCATTGTGGGGATGTGTTGAGAGTTGGACTAGGTGATCTTAGTAGAAGTCTTTTCCAACCGTATTGATTCTATGATTCTACACTTCTAATTTAGACACACTAATAAGAAATTGGAGAAAATAATATGGATCTTCTATGCATTATTTTTTTCAAGTCCAAAAATTACAATAATTTAAAATATTTAGTATTGCTTTTAGAACATGAAGACAATTAGTCCTGCAGAAAATATCAAAAAGAATTAATACCTAAAAGATAAAGCACCCAAAGAACACAATAGTAAATGGTTAATCAGGAAGCAGATTGTGGAAAGACAGATGAGCCACATACCTCACAGTTGTAGATTTTCTTTGTGATTACAGTTTTTTTTTGTTCCCTCCTAGAGAAAGTTCCTATATTTGTTTATTGCAATCTATTTATAGACTTAATGGAACCAGGTGAAGCAAGAATAAATATTTTCGTGATGAATGGGGATGTTTAAACCTCATATAATACAACTGGACAACGCTTCTCAATGTGCTGATTGTAAAAATAGCACAGTCCTTATTCGCTGATAGATTCAACTATTGTTAGGAGCCATTGTCAGAGGTGAAGTAAGAAGACTGCAGGTTGTGCCCGCCTTTTCTTTTTAAAGCTTTATCATATTTTTCTTTTGTATTTTACAGGCAAGGGGTAATGCTTGCAAGTTAATGAGATATTGGAAGTATTTCAAACAAGTGGTACAAGTTTCAGTACCAAAACTAATAACAGGTATTGATTACAGATAACAGGTATTGCTACAGTGAAAAATGACATGCGTGTAAGAAATGTTTTTAGATCTATTATTACAGGTTTGGTTATAAACATTCCCTCTTGAACAAGACTTGTATCTACAATGTTAGTTGATGTTCAGTTGCATCTAAATGACCTCTGATTAAAGAATACTAATGGGCCTCTTTCACCATTGAATTGTACTTGTGCAGTCAGCTACACATGAGGGAAATAAGCCATCAGAGTACGGCAAACATTTCTGGAAAAGTGGTTTCCAGTATTCTTTGATAGTTTTGTGAGCGTGCAGAGTGACTGGGCAGTTTGCAAAGCAGGCGCATTTTTTTTTGATGTATTTTATTCATCAATGGTATCTATGTTACAAATATGTATTTTTGTGATTGACTTATATGCAGTGACTACACAGCAATTATTGATACATTAATACATAAAGAACAAAGAGTTGTTTTACAAAAACTTCTGATACACATGATTTTATCAGCTCTAGTATTGAATGCACTTTTTGTTTCAAGTGGAAGTTTATCTATTAAGTGACTGATATGACAGATTGAAAAGAATGGGAAAACCTTTATAGAGAAGACCAATAAAAATGCATTCATTTTCATGTACGTATACTGTTCTTTGCATTATATCAGTAATCTGGATGAAACCCCTGTATATTTTGGTGGCAGGAATAACTGCCAGAGAAGGGTGTCTGCAAAATTTCTCTAGGACAGTGATAACGTGTGACATAATGGATTGTGCACAGCCCAAACCACTGTCAGACAGACTTCAAAAGAAACTGAAGTTTCTGCAGCTGAGGCTACAGAATAAAAGTCTTTGACCCAATGAGCTCACAGCTGTTTCTAATGTTAGGTAAGAACCTGTACCAAGCTAGAGTTTAATTTCACATGCAGTACCTTTCCCTGTCCTTGGTAAATAGCTTTTCTAAATACTTGTGAAATAAATATTTCGTTTAGAAAGCTACAGCTCAGAGAATATTGAAGATGTTGTAACAGCTCATAAACTGTGCCAATCCAGGCCAAAATATAATTTAAGAAACTCATTTTTTGCCTTCCAGTCTGATCCTTTTTAATGCTGTATTAGATTGTTATTTACAGCTGATTTTTTTCCCGTAAGATAGAAACAATCCTTTACTAGCAGCACAACAGGTATTTATTTGGCACATATTAAGAGGTTTGGTAGAAAAAAATTGATTTGTTGCACATTCTTGTTAAAATCTGAGCTTGTAACATCTACTTATTAAATATCAGTGCAATTAACTAGTGACACTGATTACTGGAAAACATTACCAACCCAAAAAGCTAGCTTATTTTGGTGCTCTCCTATGATGATAAATCTTGTATATTTTTTAAAACATATTTTTTCCATGCACCTTCACTAAAATGAAATTTCTAATGCCATGACTTGTCAATA